AGGGTAGGAGGGGTTAAAGAACACTATGGGACAGGGGAGGAAGGGTTAACAATCACTATGGGACAGAGGAAAGGGGGGTTAAAGATCATTATGGGACAGGGGAGAAAAAAAAAATATTCTGAACAAACTGTCCCATAGTAAGAAACACTATGGAACAGTTTGTTCAGAATATTTTTTTTTTCTGTGTTTCCTCCTCTAAAAACTAGGTGCGTCTTATGGTGAGGTGCGTCTTATGGAGCGAAAAATACGGTACTTTGGGAAAGGACCTGCAGTTTTGGCATGGCACTTCGGATGCAGCCGAAGTAGTCGAAGTGGCTGCCATTAGAAAACCGAACACGAAGTTATGGCACATAATGCGCAGTTTACTAAGTGGAGATTAGCCAACTATCTGGAGTAACTGAAATGTACTCCATTTGCAGTTTGCAGTACAGTGTGCATGGTGGCTGTATGGCGTAATGAACTGATAGTTTGTGGTATGGAGTGTCAGTAGAAAGTTTGCTGTGCAGAGTGGCAGTTTAAGTGAGGTCGTAGTGGCAAGTGGTAGCTTGCTTTGTGAAGTAGCAGTGGCATTACTCTGCAGAGTAGTGGGTCCAGTTTGCTATGCATAGTGGTTGAAGTAGTTTCTGTGTGGAGTGCTAGTGGCAGTTTTCAGTGCAGTGTTTAGCAGGGTCCTGTTTGCTATGTGGCGTGCAGAGTGGCTGTGTTCATTTTTTGGATGTGAGAATGTGTGTAACGTGTTGAGTAAGAGAAGGCAGCATCGCACAGTCCTGCGATCAGATTAATGGTGCTAACAATTAACAGCACTGGATGTTAAGTAATGTCAAAGACAAGGAACCTCCTAAATCATGCAAATTAAATTTTATAGAAATTAAATTGTGCATTATGTCAGTCGTGTAGGAAGATATCGTTTTAATTAAGCTGACTCAATGAAAGGATGTATACAGACGTGATCATTTTTATGACTAGTACAAATCCAGATCTTTGAGCTAAGATATCATTTGAGTCTTAGAATCATTTCTGGCATGAATAATTACAGGATTAGTCAGACACGGTGGGCAGAAAACACCACGAGAAAGGAACGATAAGGAAGTATTTAATAAAACATTTCTATCAATGTTATCTGTACAAAATATGATCATGTTCAGATGGGCAGCTCTATCCAAGAAAAACGAGTTATCAAACAAATCAATAACTCATGATACACGGAGGCCCGGTGAGGATAGACCATTATATTGTTGCTGCGATTCTGGGGCAAAGTTCCGAAAGTGAAGCAGTCACCGTGGAAATCAATTGAATCAGCTGGGACATTGATTTGGTTTGGTGCTTCGTCTTGTGCTCTGCTCCACGTTTGGAGCTTTGTTTTACATTCGTGTTTTTATACAGAATCCCTAGTGTATATCATGCAAAAGCTGCAATTTAGACAGACACTGTGGGGCTTAAT